AGTCCTTTATCAATAGCAGAACATTGCTCATTTAATCCATAGAGTCCAGAAGAGTGAGCTGATGACGGAAGAATTGTAAGTCTCTGTTTTTCCACTTTTCTACAAGGACCTAAACTGGGGTAGAGAAAGAGAATGGTCAGAACTAACAACTGTTCTTGCACTTGAAACAGAATAAAGAAATCCCTGCTTAGATCCCTGGAATAGAAGAACAAACTGACATAATACAAGTGAAATTATTGAAAAGTACTTTCAGTATAAAGAGCCAAACATTTTAAGGCAAAATCAAATAACCTAAAATCTTAGCATGCACACACACACACACACACACACACACACACACACACACAGAGCAAGAGAGAGAGAGAGAGAGAGAGAGAGAAATACTAACAGTCTGTTTCTTCCTCTTCTGAAATGAATCTTTCACATGGCAGTAATAAGGTAGTATAATCCTGGCCAAAGCTTGGATTCTGTTTGCTAGCACCAATATTAGATTACAAAGGTATTTGTTTTCAGAACAACATCTCCTGACTCCTTATTTATTTATCAGATCTCTATGAAACACCCTTTGCCTTTCTCTTTCACCTTCAGGGTTAAGTATTTCCTAAGAGTTCCCTGCCCTACTCCAATTTCAACCATCCGCCATGACAGGATGCCCACACTCAAAGAGGAAGGGCTGAGTGAGGAATAAAGACCACCACACACAAACCTGGCCTTACTTCCTGTTTACTTTCCCCTTATTCTGTATTGAAGCTCTGATCACTACCACTACCACAGTTCCATTGCAATAAACACTACAGTACAGGAATCAGAAAATAATGGTGGCTAGTCCAACAGTGGCTCTTCACTCATAGTCTAGCGGCCCTACCCCAAGCCCTACCCAGAATGTTCTGGACACAATTATGCTGCATCCTAACTGTTCATTTCTTTTCTTCCCATTGCATTCAAAGCTCCTTAAAGACAGAAACCATACTATCCTTACCTCATGATCTCAGAACGATCACACAGCTTCTAGCACAAGCAGGCACTCAACAAATGTTTGATGAATTAATAGACTCATTGACTACCTGTGAATCAATAAAACTACAGACTTCCACAGTTTATAAAACAGACTTTTACACTTCCAGCCATATTTGAACCTAATACCACCCTTTATAACCACCAGAGGACTGGTGGTTTTAAGCTACAGGATGTCTATCTACAAATGAGGAGGCTAAGAGAAAGTAGTATCTGGGCTAAACCAGGCAAAAAGCAGAGAAAGGATGTCATGAGTATCCCTATCTAACTATTCCTCACTGGAATTCCCTATCTCAGTAATGACCTGCCACTTTAGATCAAAGGTATGTTTGGAACATTATGATCTGAATATTTAGGTCAAAGGTCTGTTTGAAACAACCTTTAGGGTGCTTCATTCCATTCCTAAAGAATTATCACTGGCCCATGCTCATTCCTCTGTGATCTTATCTACTTGCTTGTTTATACAACTGATTCTTTTTTAAAAAAAATTAGGTGAACATTGGTATATATGTACTCTTTATTATATACTGTATTTTGTATGATTACTGTATAAACTCTATTGAGGTATTACTATGGACTGTAGTATAACCACTGAACATATTTTATAATCTATCATCTATTAAGTGTAAATGTATTATATACTATATTATAATTGCCCTAAAATAAAGGGGAACGCCAGGAAAGAGAATATAGTCTTCCTGAGCACAATTCAACATATTCAAACGATATCTCAGCAGTCTCTGTATTATAGTATCTCCATCAAGGAAGAAGTTGTACCTCTATTTCATCCAATCTTTCTCCTGACAGGTCATAAATGTAGGCAGCAGTTACATGCTGCATGTTATTACAGAGTGTTAATAAGTGTGACCTATGCATGGTGGCATAAGCTTATAATCCCAGCATGCCGGAGGCAGACGCAAGAGGATTGAGATTTCAAGGCTAGTCTGAGCTACATAGTAAAAACTCTGTCTCAAATAACCAAGACATGGGCATGTAGCTTATTGGTAGAATATATATACACACATACACACACACATTAATCAGTGTGTGGCTAGAGGAAAAGGAAAAAATATTCTAATATAAAGATAATGAAATCATGGCATATAGGCTTTTTTTTAAAGCATCTATATCCAACTTATTTCAACAATAATAAGGCAGTCTTCCCAACAAATGGCACTAGGGAAATTATATATCCATATATAGAAGAAGGAAACCAGAATCCTGTCTCATCAGTTACAAGTATCATTCCTAAATGGATAAAAAACTTATATGTAGAACTTGAAACTCTAAAATTATTAGAAGGAAATATAGGGAAAAGGCTTCGGGACTTTGGAATGGATAAAGGTTTTCTAGAGAAGAGTCCAAGAACACAGGAAGCCAAGCCTAAAATAGACAAATGAGTTCACATAAAACTTAAAAGCTTCTACACAGCAAAGGAAACAGAGTAAAGCAATGACCTAGAAATTGAAAGAAAGTACTTTCAATCTATACATCTGGCAAGAAGTTAATACTCAGAATGCACTGGGTATTCATAAAGCTCAATGGTAAAAAAACAAATAATTCAATATTTAAAAACAAGCCAAGTATTGGCTCACACCTGTAATCATAGCTACTCAGGAGGCTGATATCTGAGGACTGCCCTCCAAAGCCAGACTGGATAGGAAAGTCTGTGAGACTCTTATCTCCAACTAACCAGCAAAAAGCTGGAAATAGAGCTATGGTTTAAATGGTGGAGCACTAGCCTTGAACACAATAGATCAAGGACAGTGCTCAGACCTTGAGGTCAAGCCCCAGGTCTGGGCAAAAGGGCAAAAAAAAAAAAAAAAAGAAAGAAGTATACATTTCTCAAAGAACATATAAAATGTCCAGAAATATATGGAAAAAATTCAACATCAGCCATCATTGGGGAAATGCAAATCAAAACTAGGTGCAATCATATCTCAACCAAGTAAGAATGACTCTTATCGAAAAGATTTTAAAAAATGAGGAGCTGGTAAAGAGATAAGAGTACCAAGAGTCCTTGCACACTGTTGGTGGGGGTGTAAATTAATACAATCATTGTGGAAAACAACATGTATGTTCCTCAGAAAAATTACAAATACAATTACCATATGACACAGAAGTCCTCAAGTAAAGATCCAAAGGAAATGAGATCAATGTCAAAGAGACATCTCTTCTAAAGCACTAAAACACTGTTCACAGTCTCAATGAAATGGAAACCATCTAAGTATTCTCAACAGGTGAATGGATAAAGAAAATGTGGCACATGTACAGAACAGAATAATATTCACCCCAAAAAATGGAAATCCTGTCATTCACAGGTATGTGAAGTCAAGTAAGACAAGTATAGAAAATTGAGTGTCACATGATCTCACTCATAAGTGAAATAGAAACAAGTTGATTTCACAGAAGGAGATTTCTAGGATGATGGCTATCAGAGGAAGGACAGAGTATGGAAAGAGAGAGATGGAGTAAGTAAGATGGGTAGTAAGTTATAGTTACGTAGGATTCATGTAACCAGCGGGTGATAATTTATAGTTACATAGGATTCTATTCCATGGTAGGGTGACCATCAATAACAATAATGTACTGTGCTTTTTTAAAAATGCAGAACAAAGATTTCAAATATTTTTACCATAAATAAATGATTAAAGTTTAAGTAGCTATGCTTACTCTGATGTGACTACTACACTGTATACATAGGTAATGAATCCTCACATGGTACCCCTAAGTGTGCATGATTTTTATATTTTTACCCAGTTAAAATAAGAATAAATTTAAAAAGAAAACTCATGCTGGGTGCTGATGCATCTATCTGTTATCTGAGCTATACTTGAAGCTGAGATGCAGAAGATAGTGATTCCAGGTCAGGCCAGGCAAAAGAAACAATTCACAAGACTCCTTCTGAACAGAAAAGGCTGAACATGGTGAAACAAGTCTATCAGGCTAAGTATGCAAATGGATGATTATGGTTCTAGCTAGCTTAGCAAAAAGTGCTGGTGGCATGGCTCAAGGGGTAGAAAATCTGCCTAGCAATCACAAAGCCTAAAGTTCAAACCCCAGTATCAAAAACTGAGAAGACAAAAACAAATTCAACTCCCCCCAAACTGGAGAAGGACGTGGATTTTCCTTCTGAACAGGCCATCAGAACGGGACTAAGAAGTTCAGGGATGCCATCTTCTGCTTGACACAGACTTTCTTTCCATGGCTTCAGGCAAGGGCTAAGTCCAGAGTTACAGCTATCAGCCACCACAAACTCCAGGTCTAAAGACTTTGGAGAAAGTGTTCCAACTGATTTAAGAATTTCAACCTATCAGCTACAGTTTAACAGGTATAATGGATATGTTCTAGTTAAAATGCTAATCTCAGCTAAAAGATCCAACCCACTACAAGCCCCAGCTGCCTGGAAGTTGGTGGGCAGGAAGAATGATGGATAGGAGGACTTGAAATGGCTGGAATATAAAGTGAGGTCACCTTCTATTTAAAAAAAAATGGTACTCCCAAAAAAAGAAGTTTTTGATTTTATCAGTTCCATGATGTTGCTAAGAGTTAGTTGTGTTTATTATACCACCATCAATTTTGTAGAAACCAAATAAAGCAGGGTTGGGGTGTAGCTCAGTGGTAGAATGCTTGCCTAGCATTCTATAATAACTAACTAAATAAATAAAGCATATGACAAGGTACTGTTTATCTCATAACTCCAAAGCCAGGTAATAGAGTTTCAAATGATCAGTGTGAAACGTTCATTTTAATCCCAAACACATGTGATCTCCTACAAAGGAGCTACATCCCTAGGAATTCTGCAAATGGAGCTATGACTTACACATCTAAAGACTGGTCAATGACCAATATTGAAAACGATCAAGTAAGTCTTTCTTATAGCTACTATAACCCTGCAAATAAAAACAAGATGAGCGCAGCATGCAGCTGAAGTTATGTTGAAGTTAAGAAATAAACAAAACAAAAACAAAACCCCCGACACCTACACTCCAGTCCAGAGTAGCTCTGGGCTCCTTGGCTGGACCATTTGCCACAGGAAGGCTGAGAGGATGTGCAGGAGCCAGGTGCTGGAGGCCTGCCCGGGAGATTGCTTTCCTGCAGCAAGAGGGGGGGAAAAGAAAGAAAGAAAGAACAACATGAGAATCTCATACAGAGCTCAAACTTTCTCCTGGGGTAGGAACAATGCACAGGTTAGTCTTCCATGTCTGAACCCATTTAAACTGCCTTGGAACCTACCTCACTAAGGATAGGGGATTTGGGGCTCCAAAGACAGGGAGTTTGAGGAATTCATGGTGGGGAAACAGGGCTTCAGAAAACCAGAATTAAAATGTGAGTCCTGATGTAGGATAGGAGGCAGGAATGGAGGTCTCTTCTAGATAAAGAAAAAGATGTAGCTAGGGGCCAGTGGCTCATGCCTGTAATCCTAGCTACTCAAGAGGCTGAGAATATGAGGATCGTGGTTCAAAGCCAACCTGGGCTGGAAAGTCTGTGAGACTCATCGCCAGTTAATCACCAGAAAACTGGAAGTGGAGCTGTGGCTCAAAGTGGTGGAGTGCTAGCCTTGAGCAAAAAGAGCTCAGGAACAGCACCCAGGCCCTAAGTTCAAGCCCATGACCAACATTAAAAAAAAGAAAAAAGAAAAAGATAGTAGGGTTTAGGCAAGCTGGAATATGTGGGAAACACTCAACTGCTACAGACTCAAAGCAAGCAAAGTGACACCCGAGGCCTTCTATTGAAGCTGGGTATAGCTAAAAATCCACAATCACTCTTCTTCTCTCCAGAAAAAAAAATCTTTCTTTATTCCACAGAGGACCACTGAGCTGGTGGTTCTACACAGGGAAAAGAATCAATTTACATCTGCAGAGAAGTTGCATGTGCTAAAAGATCAACATCTTACCAGAGCCTGAGGTAAGAAGATATAGACATATACATAAAGGTGTATGCATATGTCCATGTGGACAGACAGACAGACAGACAGACAGACAGACAGACAGACAGACAGACAGACAGACAGATAGATAGATAGATAGATAGATAGATAGATAGATAGATAGATAGATAGATAGATAGATAGATATAGAATTGTGGGCACATATATGTATATATATATGTATGTATATATATATATATATAGGTAAATATATGTGTACATGCAGATACAGTTTTTTTCTATTCTTTTTTACTGGATTCTAGGCTTGCTGGAGGGAATGTGATAAAATTCAGGTCAGAAAAGAACACAATGAATGCAGAGAGATTGAGAATGTCCACCCTACCCGTGGCCTGCCAATATAAGAAATAGAAGGAGCTGCATTTGCAAAGCAAAATATGACTATCCTCATGGGGCGGAATAAGAACAGCAAGAAAAGGGAGACAAGCAAGAGCACCTGGGGAGAGCCGTGGTGTTGTACAGAAAAACAGAAGCTTCATGTTTGAATGGTCCCATCAAAAACATCAGACATTTACAACAGAGTGCCGAGTTGTAGACTCAACAGTAGCTCCCTGGAAGGGAGAGGGCTTTCCCTGGATGGTGGTGTAAAAATGTGGTCTGCGAGGCCCTTGAATGAGAAGTCTTGGGAGGTAGCTGCTCTGAGTCCTGAATCAGACAGAGGTGAAGCTGGTCTGCATGCACACAGGCCGATGGGAAGGTATGCACACCTTGGGTGGCAAGTTCTGTTGAGCAAGGATCTTTGGGCAGGTTGGAGACCAGAACTTTCTCAGGCTCATCCCAGGGAACATTGGAGGGAAAAGACAGCAAATCATTCTCTACTTCTAGCTGGCTCTTTGCAGCTTGTCTCACATAGCATGAGCATGTCAACAGGAATCCATCCACCATCTCTGAGATTAAACCTACAAGCCTGGAACCTAGATCCTAGATACTGTCACCCACCTCGCCACAAAGAGGAAAAGGATAGGCAGAAAAGAAGAAGAAGAAGAAGAAGAAAAGAAAGAAAGAAAGAATGAATGCAATGAGGACGATTTATGGGGGATGACATCATAGGGGAATCTCAGGGGGAAAAAAAAGGGCACCTACCCCAGAAAAGGGGAGGGATGGCTAGAACACAATGCATAAGTTCGTTGAACCCTAAAAGTGTGTTGCTTCTTCTCTTCTCCTCCCTCTCTCTCTCTTCTTCCCTTTTTCCTTCCCTCCCTCCCATCTTCCCTCCTTCCTCTGTGCACATTCACTGACTTCCAAACTTCCATCGAGAAATTCAACCTGTGAAGTTGAGTAAGATGAACAGCAGACCCCACATCCAAGGAAAGACCAAGTGGAATCCAGCAATGAATGCAAGATGATGCCTAGCTCCAGTGGCTCACACAGGTAATCCTAGTGACTTAGAAAACTGAGATCTAAGAATCCAGATTTGAAGCCAGCCAAGGCAGACACATCAGCAAGACTCTTCTCTCTCTACTTAACCTGTTAAAAAGCCCAAAGTGAAGGTGTGGCTCAAGGGGAAGAGCACCAGCCTTGAATGAAAAAGCAAAGCAAGAGCACACGGCCCTGAGTTCAAACTCCAGGACCAGTCTAGAATTTACATGGGTGAATTTACATGGAGGACATTCGCATGTACGCATGCATGCACCACCATTCATCAATTATCAAGTATCCTGGAGAGCTCAGCGAGTCCAACCTATTGTTCGCTTTTCCTCAGGCTCTTGTATTCCTATTCCGGAAGTTCTAGAAACAGCCGATAGGACTTTGGTAGTTGAAAGTGAGCAGGTCAAGCTTGAGGTAGCATACTTTCAAAAGTACCCACAGGCAGCTTTCTATAATCCCCAGGCATTACAAGTGTGCAGGGCTTTAATGAAGACAGACCAGTGACATGTGTTCCTTTTCCTCACTTTCTCCAAGGCAAATAGTGAACAGTATCAATTTTTGCCCCTCATACTGGTTTATTCCATACCCTTGAGCAATGAGAAAAGGAAAAGTGGAATTTCTTATATGGTGATCCTTCACCTACAATCACCCCTCTACCTGGGTTGAAGGAATTTTTCCAGCTTTTCCCATCAGCATTTTCTCTGGTTCTAAAGGGTCCTGTCTGGTCATTTATCCACAAAGCAGACCTCTCTGGAGTCATGAAACAAAATAGGATGGGTTTGCTCTCCAGTATTATACACACAGAGAGAAAGGAGAGAGAGAGAGAGAGAGAGAGAGAGAGAGAGAGAGAGAGAGCACAGTGCTCAAATACAGTCTTACAATGGCTTAAAAACTCCTAAATTTCAGGTGAATGACAAAGGAATAAAACTTACATCTTAGAACTATCCTTGACAGTTGTGTTCAGACAACAAGGAGAGGGGAGATAAAAAAATTCTACACTTAGGTACCAATAGAGACCCCAGGAGACAAATAAATTTCAAAACTCATCAATGGCATTTCAAATGGTAGAGCAATAGCCTTGAGCACAAAGAGGCACAGAGACAGTGCCCAGGCCCTGGGTTCGAGTCCCAGGACTGGCAAACATAGAAACAAAAGAAAAAGCTCATCAGAGCTTGCAGACCCTGACAACCAAAATCTTAATGAGTCTTTATTATTATTATCAAGAGAATCAAAATGTTCACACAATCAAGTCAGGAAAAAAGGGAACTTAATGTCATAGAGGATCAATACGATTATAAGAAATCTAAAAACCATTGAGCAATGAATGATACTCAACTTTTTTCTAGTCTGTGAACAGGAAAAAATATGTAAAGCCTTTTGTAGATCATTTATTCCTCATTATAGATACAAACTTAAAGTTGATTCTGTGTAATAATAACAGAAGAAAATTGTATGTCTACTGTGCACATAAACATGAATTTGGAGGAAAAAGAAGAAACATTACAAGAATATAAACAGTAACTTCAGATTACAGATTTCTGTTCTTCTAAATAACCACAGGAGAAAATCCTTTGCTTTTTTCCAATCCTTCATATATGAAAACATGTCTTCTTCCAAAGTAAGAAAGTCATTTCATTCTTTCTTAGACCTAAATAAAATTAGTGTTTGTTATTTTTCTGCCTAAATTAATCTTGGTTGTGGAAGATGACATTTTAGAGTCTGGTAGAACCTACTGTGTGGCTGGAGGGGTAAAAGGTAATGGCTTCAATTGCTTATATATATATATATTATATATATATATATATATATATATATATATATCAGTGGGTTTCAACTTCTCAATCTTTTTTCCTGCTCAGAATCTTCCCCAACCCACAGTTGGCAAAGCTGTGAAATGCCAACGATTCTATTAATTTCACAACAACACTTTGTAGGGAGTGACTATAATCACAAAAGCATCTCTGGAAAGAACTGTGATACAAACTGTGAAAACAATATGAAAAGTAAATCTTGTATAATGCAGCTTCAAGAGCATAAAGCCACAGTTATGTCAATTACCTGACAGGAAAGACCTCTAACGTATTTAAAGAATACCATATATTTTAAATAGTATTCTATTATTTCCCTCACCCCATTCAATAAGACTATAAACTTCTAAAGAATAGCTCTCAATTCATCTACTAATTTTATTATGTTTCCCTAGCCTAGGGTAGACACGATATATATTCAATAAATGCTTTCTGAGTTAATGAATGAACTTGACCAAGAAGCTAAGTAAAGCAGCTGTTGATTAGATCAAGAACTGAGAGATTTGATTAGGATGATTTGAATTATGTCCTAGGCTTTACATTTCAGTGATATTCTTTCCTGAGAGGAAAGCTCTTTAAATTATAAATGCAAGGCCAAGCACTGGTGGCTCACGCCTGTAATCCTAGCTACACAGGCAATCTGAGGATCATGCTTCAAAGTCAGCCTGACCAGGGAAGTCCATTAGACTCTTCACTGCAATTATCTACCAAAAAGCCAGAAGAGGAGCTGTGGCTCAAGTGGCAGAAAAATGCACTGACACAATACCCAGGCCCTGAGTTCAAGCCCCAGGACCAGCACAAAAGACTGAACAGTTTTATGTAGCCAACATTAGAATGGTTTCTCATTGTTACAATATTTGACAAGGGCATATGATTCAGTGTACATTCATTCTTACAACATCTGTGCATCCTCTCCAAAATCAAAACCTTGAAGACCTGCACATGAATGAATACATGTACACAAGTAGTTT